AATCCTTCTCTAGCTACATAATGAAGAACATGGTCACCACTGCCATAGCTATAACTACGCATCATTGGATGACAGCCACACTCTTTAATAAGATATTCAACTATATCAACATGATTACCTTTAGCAGCTATATAAAGACATGATTGACCATCATAGTAGTTATGTTTATATGGATAAGAGTATTTCTTAATGAGATCTCTTGTAGTGTCTAACCAGCCATTACTTATAGAATGATAGAGCAGGTAACGCTCCTTCTGGTGAAGTGCTTCAGGATCTTGCAAACGTAGTAACCGAACAGCTTTTTTATGATCTCCTTTTTCAAATGCCTTCCTACATTTTCGTTCAAGTTTCGATTCTGCCATTATGAAATTATTCTTTGAATAAAAGGCCAAAGAGAATGAGTGAGAGGAGAATAGCAAAAGGTCAAACTATAGGGCCCCCACCCTTTAGGGAGTTAGATTGATGTATTCATGATTTCACATAATGACAATAAATACAGTTTTAACTAAAAGGAATACAATAATAAATAATTAAACTAATCTTATGCAGAATTTAACAATTCAACTGTGCATAGTTCAATTCAACAGTAACATTTGCCCAGTCAAGCAACATAATTAAAGACTGGCCTGTAGCATATGTTGGGTTTTAGCCTCACAACTACCAGTACACATTTTAACTTTTTATTATTATAATAATGATAATAATAATGTGTTCAGTAGTGGGTCAATGGTGACAGTAAGTGAGTGATATAAGCTGCACTGCAGAGAATGAATGAATACACTAATAATAATAATAATAATAATAATAATAATAATAATAATAATAATAATAATAAAAACTAATTAATGGGTCTAGCCTATTGTTACATAGTAGGTGTTACATTTCCAGTGTTAGTGGGTGTGACTGAATGAGAGAGGTGTGAACTCTCACTTCGTTTGTGATGCCTAGAGCGATGGACTGGTCTGTTCTTAAAGGAGAACAGTGATTCCTCTAGCTCCTGGTTAATGTTCTTGATACACTGATACTTGGACTCTAAACTCTGTAGAGTATGAGCATATGATGTACATGTAGTCTGTATATGATCATTCACATTACACTAAGAACAGTTCTTAAAGCACAACATACACTATGCAACATTTGTTGCAAACAACTTGTTGCATGCAACACAGTTTATACAGG